AGTGTAAGACCTCTTAATTTTTTAACAAGATCAAAACTGTTGCTAACAAAACTGTTCGAAACAGGTATACTTTTTTGAATCAATTTATTTAAAAAATCAGCAAAGTGATGCAACGGACTATTAATCGTAGAAACAATTAATCTAAAAGGGTTATTTTTTAATGAATTTTTGGTATCCCGTAAGCTCGAGGTAATAAGCCATCGCTTGACTTGATGGATTTATAAGAAAGATCAGAAATAAATTCTTTCTGTACCCAATTTCTTAACAATTTATTAACACTATCTTCAATGTTTTTAATAGGATTTCTATTAACCAAAAAATACGTCGTAACATCACTAAACATTTCATTAATTTTTTCCAAATAAGAAGGCCGATNAACAGCAACAGTCACATTGCCTTTTTTTTTGTATTTTATTACAATGTATCTTGTGCGCTAATTATCTATTACATGCATTAGATGTTTATCACACTGAAGAAGGTACAAACTGGAGGACCGAAACGTATGTGTTTTTTTTGGAATAAAGACTTATATTTATACACGCACATCCTGTATTTACTGCTCGTATCGGCCTTTTAATTATTCTTATATTATTTATAATGTGTTATTTAACTTTTTTGCAAATATAAACATTTTCTTCTTTTTATTTACAAGATACACTCACATAATTTTGAGGAAAAGTTTTCCGCTTTACAAGTATTGTCATCATTGCGATTCTTCAATAGATAAGCAAATTGCTAAGGATAGAATAGCAAAAATAATTGGATCAATGCTAATAGATAAAAATATAATTATAAGGAACAGTTCTGCCAGTACTTTGAAGGATATTGCTGAAAATGGTGAAGAAGAAGCATGCAGTGATCAAAGATGATATGACTCCATTAATTACATTATTCAATAAGGTATAAAATACTGATAATAGTACATATAGTAATGTATATGTGCATGTGTCTTGTGATAATGCTAAAGATCACATTGCAATGATGTGATCTTTGTTTGTCACAGTGTATACATGTTATACTTGTGTTACAACTTAAAATAATACAATGAATTCAAGTAAAGTTTTTTTTTTAGAGGCTGGTAGTTTATTGTGGGTAGTTTATGTGCAAATAATGAGAATGAACTTATAATCTATATATATTTTTGTTGCAGAGAAAAAGAAAATACAAACTGAACTATCAGAAGATGAAGATTCTGCAGATGATAATAAAGGCCTATAAGAAAATAAGCGTAAGTACCACAACACATACTTATACATCTCTCTCTCTCTTTCTCTCTCTCTCTCTTTCTCTTTCTTTTTCATATATATTTTTTTTCAGGGAAAAGAGGAACAAGAGGCGGAAAAAATTAGACTTGACACTCACTGATATGAATGTTTCTGAAGTGTTGTCTAAAAACTGCTGTGGCTGATTTATTAAACAATATCTTCCCGCATGTAAACAATATTTTGCATAATAAACTGAAACAAATACAAGAAAGTATATAAAAATATATTAGAGGCACAAGAACAAGCTTTACAAATCATAGCAAACTTGTGCTTTGAAGAAGAGAATAATTTATTTTAATTATTCTGATATTGATGATTATAAAACGAAGGCAAAAATATTCAGACGATGATTCTACAAACTACAAGAAACCGTCGACACTTGCAGTAGAACTAGTTGAAGTTATGGTTGATAAAGTCTGGTGCAAGGCTGAATTCATGGTGGACGATGATAGTCAAGAATTATTGGATCAAACTGTTTTTAATAATAAAATTCAGTATATTATGTTTAAATATTAGAGACGTTATTACTTTATATAAGTATATATTTTTTTTCTTTGCATTTTCAATATCTGACTCATTATTCATGTCTATTCTGCGTTCAGGNAATGTTTCAAAATAACAGATATATTCAGACTAGAGGAAAACAATGCTGAAATTTTTGAAGCAGCTTCTGCAGCTATGCGAGCTATCCTGCAACGATTGGTTGAGATACAGACGGATGTCCTTCAATTAACATACAAAGATGTTGAACC